AAACCCCACCTCTGCTCTGGGTGTGTCTGCTACTAAATAGGACGGGATAGGCTAAGGGTCTAAACCCCACCTCTGCTCTGGGTGTGTCTGCTACTAAATAGGACGGGATAGGCTAAGGGTCTAAACCCCACCTCTGCTCTGGGTGTGTCTGCTACTAAATAGGACGGGATAGGCTAAGGGTCTAAACCCCACCTCTGCTCTGGGTGTGTCTGCTACTAAATAGGACGGGATAGGCTACGGGTCTAAACCCCACCTCTGCTCTGGGTGTGTCTGCTACTAAATAGGACGGGATAGGTTAAGGGTCTAAACCCCACCTCTGCTCTGGGTGTGGACTTTTCATGGTCTCCTTCTGTTATGCTGGTTTCCTCTGGGTACAACATTGTTCTTTGGAGCTGCATTTTACCAGTTTCCATAACCAAAATATGACTGAGAGGCTCTGAATTATCGCTGTCAGGTTTTTACTTCCTTCTGCAGCTCTGTTAGATACTTATTTTTTTAAGTAAGTCTGCATCTTAAGCACCATCATTAGTATACACTCATCTGATGTGACAGCTGAGTTAAACACATTAAACACTCCACTCTGTTAATAAGCCCCATTCCCAAAAGGCTAAGGAGGGACAGAATTGTGATTTAAAACCTAAATTCAAGAAAACAATTTGATAATTAAGTAACAGAAGTAATTGGTGTAATGTGATGCTTAAAGAATCGAATACAGTAGAACTCCGCATTGGCAAGTCTTTCAGAACAGGATTGGGTATACTAATCGGGTATGACCTACAGTATATTTTAAAACTGAAGTTTGCACCTTGTCTACCAAAGAACTTGGCCTACTAATGAATTAAAACGATATTAAAGACAACCTGTTAGGTAAAATATGTAACTAATGAAACCACTGTTAATTTGTTTGCTTTGGAAGGAAATGGGATAAAGTCTGGTGTTATGTGTAGGAACCAAACAGCAAGAGTATTTATATATACTGTATATACATTTTTTCGTATTCAAACCAGGTGCCCTGTTCTTCACCGTTCTGACAGTTCCCTTGATGGCGTAAGTGTTGGTGTCTTGCACAGACCTGGCCTGTGACTTACACCCTCTCTTTGGATGCTCAGCAGTCCATTGAGTGACCAAGGACACCCAGTGTTGGGGATGCTGAAATGCTGGATGGTTCTGATGTTGTCTGTGTACTCCCACGGCTCAGCGTGCCCATTTCTGCGGAGCAGCATTTCTTTGCCCTCAAACAGCTTGATACAAAAACGCATCCTACACCACAACAGACTCGCGAGAATCTTTCATTGTGGGAAACAAAAACTCCAGACTGTAGATGTAGGTTGAAGAATGACTCATCTGACCATATTGCTTTTTTTTTACTGTTTGTTAGACCACTGCGTGTTTTCTTTGCGCTCACAAAAGGGGTTTTTTTATGTGTAATGAGATGTTGTACTCCAACCTGATCAGAATATGCTCTCCATGCAGTTTTCAACAGACTCTGCTTGATAAAACTGCCTGCTCAATTCTTTATTTGATGCATGCAATCAGCTCTTTCAGTTTCTTGTCTTGTATCTCAAAACCTAAGCTGATGTCCGAAGGTTGTATTAACGGTTGTACCCAGTGGCAGTTTCCTCCAACCCCCATGCCAGTAACACCTTAGACACAGTTTCTGGTGAAATATGAGCGAGCTCTGCGGTCTTCATCTGTGAAGCTCCAGCAAATTGCGTCGCCAAACAATCATCCTTCTGTCTCTTCTGGCCACGGCAGCTGGGCCTGCCTGTAATTTGTATGCATGACCCTTAGCGTGATGGAATGTTAACCGTTTCATTTCCTCAGCAACATCACCTTTGTTGTTTTGTTTCTCTCATTTACTCAGTTGTTTCCTTTCAAGCTACATGTACATTGCCGCTTAATAGCTATTTGTTCCGAAACAAAATTTTTTTTTTTTGAAATCTACATAACTATGAAACTTAAAATTGCATCAGATAAAACAGCCACAGTTGCCAGAAATTAAAATTTAATTTACTTTTACTTTTTTACTACTCCAAAAACTACAAACTACGAAACTAAAATGTTAACTTTCTTTCATTCTGAATGTGAAAGAGATTGATTCATTTTAATCATTATGAAATTATTGTAGTTAATTATGATGCCCAATATAAAAGATTAATATACACCCATAACACCACAACCAATTATTTTATAACTTATTCTTTGTCAATGGCATCCTGCAGCCAATCACGGGCAGCAATAGGCTGAATACCTTCGACCAGTTATTCCCTTAAAGGGCTTATATGCAGTCATACACTAAGGGCATGTATAGGAAGAGGACATGCAAAGATGGGGAGAAACCCTACCCTGGAGTTGTGAAGCGACAGTGCTACCCACAGAAAAACCATGCCGACTTTACACATTGTTTACTACACAAATAGCCTGCATTCCACTGTAGCTCCCCCATGAAACTTACATCCAAGCTTAATCGCAAAAGCTTTTCACATGAAACCAAGTCAAAAACCAATAGCACAGCTTGTGACATTGTCGCTCTTTTAACAAATGAACCAAGCCTTTGTAAAAAACCATGTGCTCTCAAAAGAAATAATTTTATATTTACACTTGCATAACAGTTTTCACTTTTGTTTGATATCTTGCCTTTTGGCATACATACAGTTTTACAAGGCTGGCCTTTCATATGAGAAAGCCAAATACACTGTATTTCCAGCTCAAAGTCCAAACTTCACCTACAGACCCAATATGATAATGATACTTTTAAGTATAATGAAATAGCTTCAAATACATTAGTATCTTGTCTTTGCAGATTTCTAATGCTTGCTCAAGTCTGATGTTGCATCATGGAAGTTTGTCTTGTTGTCGTCTTAGTTGCAAAAATTAGGCACCAATCCATAGTTTTCCAGGCTCTCACCTGAAGACATTTGCATGCGGGACAAACTGATTGCTTCTGATTGGCTCTGACAGCTCTGCTCTCGGCGCTCGTAAGTGGCTGACTGTGACTCAGTGTGAGACAAGCCAGTTACTGCACCATACTTCTGCTTTACTCTCAGTGTTCCATTGCTACTTTAATTTTGTTTTGTTTTCTTTAATTTTATTTTTAAAATATGCCAAAACAAAAGGAAGAACACTCGTTCCAGTTTCCTTCTTGTACTACATTGAAGGATTATATAATCTTCTCCGGCCTGCTTATTTAGTTTGTAGTCTATTCTGGATTTAGTTTGTTTGCTTGGAAACAGGTTCCACACCTTTTTACAGAGTTTTGACATGAAGCCTGCGACAAGAGCTATAATTTTTTGAGGTCAGTACTTAACCTTTACTCGGTAAGCAAATTGAAGGACAGGCTGGAATTCTGGATGCTAGTACTTTTGATTCATGTGCTCATTTCCAATGATATACCTTTGCGTTAATAAATTTAATTTAATATGGAAATTTGAATTATATGCCACCCATGCTGGCTTTTAGAGTAAAACAAGTATAATAACAGAATTTGTTTATGACATTTAGAGAGGTATATGTAGTTTTCTAATAATAACATACACAATTAATGATCTTTTGCTTAAAACAACATCATACAGTGTAATATGTATAGGCTAGAGAAGATTTTTTTTCACTTAATTTTATTTTTCTGAGAAGCTTTATTTCAAGGCTCTATTTTTACCTTTGCAGACTGTTTTCACAGTTCAAAGCTTGTTTGTATAATCTGTGATAATTTCATTATAACTTTTATTGTACCTTTGTAAATCATGGCTGTTCATGGGTTTGTAGCATTTAGTTTTTTGTTTTTGTAATAGAGTACAGAGAGTTTCAGTTCTTTTTGTTGATCTCAAAGTAAAATCTTTCAGTAATAATGCCGGATAATTTTGCTGCAGAAAAATGGTCTGAGCTTTTATCCTTTATCTGTGAAGCAATGACACATTTCCTGTTTCACAAATCCTTTTTTAAACCACAATTTGGTTCTTGACTGAGTGCATTTATGTTCACTGAAAATAATCACAAAATGTTCCTTTTGATGTCTGAATTTGTAAACTTTTAATAAATCTCTAGTATTTTCCAGCTCTCCTTCAGCCATTTTATCAAAGCGTTGTTTTTAAAGTAGAGCTGAAGTGAATGTTGAATTCATTTATCTGAACTTAAGCTACTTTGTTGTGACAACAATTGTCATGTTAAAACATTGCAAAGCGAAGCAAACCTTGTAAAGCATTTTGCAGAGGGCAGACTTCAATGGCAGCTTTCCATTTGTATACATTGTGTAGTATGAAAAATATACATTGAATATTAATAAGTATCCACAATTTCATAAAAATAAAGAGCACTGTATCTTAGACTTTATGTGTTCAGACCTGTTCCACAGCAATGTGACCTGTAGTTCTGGGTGTGTATCTGTGACCTGCTGGTCTTAATCCAACCCCAGGTTTGCCTGGAACAGGAGAAGGGTGTGTCTATAGATTCTACAATACGTAGAACCAAGACGCCAATATCCATACAAATGGTATATATCCATTACAATATTACTATTATAATACATAATGCTTCATGTCGGCCAACAAGCACAAAGACCGATTCCACAAAAAAACCTTTTAGTATTTATTTGTAGATATTAGTAAAGTATTATTTGATCCTTTTCCTATATAAATATAAGCATAGAACACAATTACATATTAAAAACAAACAAGTCCATGATATTTGAAGAAGCAATATATCAAAAGTACAGGTAAAAGCAGGAGTTTGTGATACTGGTAGCAGAGAGAATCTGTGGCCTTTATGAACAAGGAGCTTCTAAGCAGCATTATGATATTATGTCCTGCTTTTTCCCTTTTTCCAGACCAGGGCTCACTGTGTCTGTTGCTTTACACTTGATGAATGGAGACACAAAGCCTCCTGTGAGCCCTACTTAAGCAGCTGCTCAGTCGTTGTTAGTTAATTGAGCTCTGGCCTGAAGACATGTCCTCTTCACCATCACTGTAAGTCACTGCCCCCAGCTGGGCAGAGGGGCTTTGTAAATGTTCCATTCAGCTGTCAAACAGTGTCACTGTTTGCTTTTACAATGCTTAAGCACCACAAGCTCTCTCTCTGTTTCACATGTCCCCACTTTGTCTGCGAAGACTGAATTATTGATATCCCAAGTGAAAAGGAGTGCTTCTGGCTGCAGGCAATGCTGCTCTTCAGGGGGAAGGTCTGCTTTGTGTATCACAAAGCCCCCCAGTGTAGCTTCCACTCAGGACAAGCAAAAATGGGTGACAAGGCCACTGGCTGGGCCCCAGTGACACTACGGAGAAGCACTGCATCGAGGAAATAAACTGGAACAAGGGCCAGTGATGCTTTACATCACCTGCACCATCATAATGCATTCATAGAACATTCATTAGTAGCACATAAGCACTGTATGCCTTAACATCCTAACATGACTTAACAGCTTTAATATACATTAATAACAAGCATTGTGTGACATTAACAAACATAATCACATGATGTTTGTTAGTAATGTTACTTATGTATATTACGGCAGTGAGAGTATGTTAGGATGTTAAGGTATACTACATGTTACTCTTAAATGTTCTCTGAATGCATTATAAAGGCATTCTGCAGGTACAGCTAATTTAAAGCGTTACCGTAAAATTGCGAGAGTAGATAAACATAAAATTTAGCATATTTGAAAAGAATGGAAAGCGAGCATCTGGATTTGGCTGTTATGCAGGACGTGTTTCTGATGGAGCAGCACTGAAACGGGAGATGTTTTTGTACCTTAATGCAAATATATTTGTCTCAGGCAGACTGTCAGTTAAAGTAAAATCCATGTATGCACTGTGCATGGTCACATTCACTAAGAAGATTTGCATCACATTTTCATACAGGTCACTATTTCCATGAAACAACACACTACGGCCTGTAGTCTCAACTGTCCCTCCTTTGTGAACAAGCTTAAACTGGTGGATCATTGTCCTAATATATAAAGAGACTCAGAAACTGAAGAGAACAATGACGTGATTTTGGTTTCCCAACCTGGAAAAATGTGATACTAAGAAAATCAGTGTGTGATAGATTTGCAGCAGAATGTGAAGAGTCTCCATTTTTAATAATGTGGTGAAAAATCAGTATTGCTGAATATTACATGGAATAGGATCAGCTGTAACATTAAAACCATTGAGAGTTGAAGTGAATAAGATTGATTATCTTGTTACACTTGCACCTGTCAAGGGTGCCATTAAATATTAGGCAGTTCTTGAAGTTGATGTGTTAGAAGCAGGAAAAATGGGCAAGTGTGAGGATCTGAGCTAGTTTGACTATAGCCAAACTGTGATGGCTAGACGACTGGGTCAGATTATCTCTAAAACAGCAGGTCTCGTGTAGTGTTCTCAGTATGCAGTGGTCAGTACCTACCAGCAGTGGTCCAAGGGAGGTCAACCAGTGAACCAGCAATGGGGTCATGGGTGCCCAAGACTCAGTGATGCGCGTGGGGAGCAAAGGCTAACCTGTCTGGTCCGATATCTCTAACCCGTCTGGTCCGATCTCTCTAGCCCGCCTGGTCCGATCTCTCTAGCCCGCCTGGTCCGATCTCGCTAGCCCGCCTTGTCCGATCTCGCTAGCCCGCCTTGTCCGATCTTGCTAGCCTGTCTGGTCCGATCTCTCTAGCCCGCCTGGTCCGATCTTGCTAGCCCGTCTGTCTCCGACCCCACAGGAGACCTACTGTAGCAGAAATTGCTGAAAAGAATAATGCTGGCTATGATAGAAATGTGTCTGAACACACAGTGCATCGCAGCTTGCTGCGTATGGGGCTTTGTAGCTGCAGACTGGTCTATTCGGAGTCTATATAAGGAGAGGATAGTTCTTCCTATGAAGACTTTTGATATCATCCCCTTGAATAACTGAATAACTTAATCAGGTTTATAATTCCGATTAGGGATGAAAGAATTTAAAAATTGCATTATACGTTATTATACTGCAGCAGTGTTCGAAAAACAATTCAGATATACAGATAATGAACTACATGAATAGACTAATTAAGCCATGGAAGATAGCTTGAATGAGTACTGGGACAGGGAATGATGCTTCTGGTGGAAGTAATTTTCCAAAACAGTCATACTTAAATATAACCTCATGTATTATGCTGAAAGGCAATGTCTGGCATCTTGGCTTTTTGTGGATGTGTGCAGACAGAGAAGCATTGCACACTCTCCAATACACTTATACAGCTGTCACACCTATATTATCACTCCCTTGATGAAACACCAGGCTCCTGGTTATAAACACCTAGGAATCATGTATGTTAGCTATCTGTGACTTTTCATGCTTTCAGCTTGGCATCCGTAGGTCCCCTGCAGTAGAACAACCCCAGCAGAATCACCGTATGCTGTCATAAATCAGTCAGCATGTCTTTGTTCATTTGGACGTTAGTGCTGTAAATGTCTTGTTTGACGAACGGCAGCATAGCCACACCTTCTTGTGATAGCACTTTATATTGTTGGCGGCAGCATCTGATTGGCTACTTTCAGGCAATGGGAAGACCGGTCTAGGAAAAGGGTTTGTTTGTGCGAAGGATGACGTAGCAGCATCGTTGGAGATCATTTTTTTCTATTATTTTACTCTGCAGGGACTATGGCACCATGACTACAGCCATAATAAAACACCATATAAGTGCACTAGCACAGGTACAGCTGTTTTTATTGTCATAGATATTGACTATATTACTGATCAGTAGGCCTATGCATAAAATGCATTAAAAATGCATAGAATGACTAAAAATAATTTGCCTTTGTGACTTCGGCACGTTTTTCTTGATGACACTCGACAGCCTGTTTCACAATCATCTGTATTGACTCCTTTCACCAGAGTAGGATTTGTTCTATGCTTGGTAGGTTTTTGCAGAAGTATATCCGTAATCAAGTTTTGCTGAATGCTAAATGTGAGGGTTTTTTTGTCTGTATGATATTTTTTCAGTGTGAAACACAACTAATTAAGTAGGAGAAAAAAATAGCAAGAGCACAGCATTGTTGCCGTGCCCATAGACGCCGGGTCACGGAGCTTCATTGGAGCTCCCGCAACGGCGGATTATCTCCCGTCGCACTGGTACAGCCCTTGATGATGCAACATGCTGTCATTATAAATAAAAGGCAGATTTTCATTGCAGTTTATTGGGGCTCATTCTTTTTGCATGTTTACCTAGTTTTGACTGTAATTAACAGTGATTGTCTCACAGTTGATGCCCAGCTGTCTCCTGCGACCTCCTCACTGCACTCTTCCCAGGCTGGGCAGGTGATGTGGCCTGGACCCCCTACTGCATTCCTCAATCCAGTGTCTAGACATGACTGCAGTGTTGTGCTTT